CATCGTGTTTCTTCAACTTGCTGCACCACAAGATTGTGTCAAATTTTTCCCAGGTCTCATTTAGAAATGTTTAACGGGGGGAGGGGGAGCATATATTAATTTCTGTGCTTCACCATTCCATGCTGCTGGCCCGATATGTGCTGCTCACTCAGCCCTTAAATTTGTTTAAGCCCCATCAATTCTACATGTCATCTGGCATCATAAAACATTGAAGCAAAGTGACACTATGCATTTAACAATTTAGAAGCAACATTGTAAGTAAGGTTGGATTTATAGATGTTTTTTGCCAATAACCACAAGCACCGAAATCACTTTGCATTGATAAGGATCATAGTAGGGAGAGATAGATACGCAACATCGCCAATGTACACCCGATCCCACGAAGATCCGACCTAATTAAAAAAGCGGGGGGTATTGGTCAATACATTGTCAATTTGCTCTACAACACACTGGTGGTGCTGTACTAGTGTAATGAGAGCGCCATCTCCTGTATTATGTGGAATGTTGTGTGATATGCAGTTATGGGTTATCTAGGGGAAGGGTTACATCTAGGCCAAAGGTAATGGGGCGGAGCCACCCGGGAAGCCTCTGGAACGCTCCCGAAGGTTTCATGAGGGGCGTGGCCAGAGGCGGGGTTTAGTCGCCGGGGAGCGTATATAAGCGGGGGCCGGAGCAAGGTGCGGGGTCGGTGTGTGAAAAAGCAAGAGGAGCTCCCTGTCGCTGCTGCCCCGACCTCTCAATCGGCCACGTGGCGGCGCGACCTCCAGCCGCTCAACCGCTTCCTAGTGCGCCGTCAGCCTGCGGCGTGTTAAAGAGTGGGTGAGCACCACATGGCGTGGGGCAGCAGTAGTGCGAGTGAGAGAGACGAGAGACAACCAACTGTACCGATGATTTATTAATAAACGATTCAAGTTCTTATCGTGTCCGAGCCACTCATTACACTAGTAAGGAATTAGTATGTTCTGTTCATGTAACAAATGTTACTAATTGGTGGTGGCGGGTTTACGGCACATTTATGCGATCTAACCTCAAAAAACAAACCAATATTATTCAATTATTTAGCATTTCCAGAATGCACAAGTACAATGAGGCGAGATAAACTTACCATGCACACCTCAATTAAGTGTTTGGAATCCTCTTTTTAGCAAACACGCATGGAGTTGCACATGATCTTGAAAATGTTGCTGAAAAAAGTAAAAGTTTGGTAATGCCCTTTAAAACAAATCTATGATTAAACAAACTAGCCAGACATGGCTATTCCGACACAGCTTAAGGATACATTTATATTAATATCGGAGTGACAAGTCCATAAAAATACGAAAGACATCAAGAAAAGGCAGGCTTATGCATGACACAGTTTAGGCCAGGGGTCGGCAACCTACGGCTCCGGAGCCGCATGCGGCTCTTTACGGGCTGCTTCTTGACGATATGTACGTATGTACAGTATGTACTCAGATGCATTGCGGCTCTTGAAATACTGAATTTGTACCGAATTGGAAAGAAATGGCTCTTCTTGTTATTTTGGTTGCCGACCCCTGGTTTAGGCCATACGTCCCGCAATACGGAGGCAAACCACAGAAAACACGTGTAGTGACTAACTCAGAGACGGTAAGACTTGGAGGCACTTCTTTTATTGAACGAACAATAATACCCACCCTACGTGGGTGCACACTCTACAGTAGCTAGCCTACACATAATTCTAACCGTCTAATACTGACGGCGCTGGACGGAGACAGCCAACAACTATATAGCAGCGCAATATCGAGTGAAAACGGCAGCGACGATGGCGACGAGATGGTAACGACGATCTTGAACAGCACGACGGGGATCTCACTTCCAGCAACAGCCACGAGGTCCCCCACGGGGGCCCCTCTTATACTCTCAGCGTGGCCTCGCTCTAACATGCCCCATCTCTGGAACCTACTCACGGGTTCCCGAGGCTTCCCGATGGTCCCCTCTGTGACCTTTTCCCTACATGTCCCCCTCTCGTATCTATCGTGGCCTAATGACGTGGGTGCTGCCATACACCGCAGTTACCCTTTTCTGCCAGCAGCCAGCGCTATGCCACTACACATGCAAAACTACAGCGGTCCACGCTCTGCGCTAATCCACCACTCAGACTGCGCTCCAATATACACAAATATTTATTCTAGAAATTAGCAACGAATCTCAAGGTTAATTTTAAACAGGGTCCGGCTACCAGTTGGGATGTTTGGTCCAAATTCCTCCTAAGGAAGACCTGTATTCATTATAAATATCAACTTGCCAGTTCGTTTAAACATTTTAGAAAATACTCTTTGGTTCTTTTGGTAAAGTCACGTATAAAGATAAAATAATAAATTAAATACTAGCATATGACGTTTCGATTGCAACACAAGCAATTATCATCAGGTATAAATAAAATAGAAACACAAATCTAGTATACTTAGAAATGTAATGTAATACAACAGAGAGTCGAATAACATAACAGTCAACACCCTACCTGGTTGATTACGTTCTTCCTGAGAATGCTGAATTTGAGAGAGAGATAAAACACAGAACCAGAGACATATAGACAGACATATAAGCAGACAGATATCACAGAGATACATAGAGAGAGACAAACATAGGCACACAGAGAAACCACGCCTCTGTGTCGAGGCCTTAAATAGAGAGAGGGGGCGGGGGCGGAGAGAGAGGGAGGGGTTAGAGAAATTAGCATGTCAATGAGTGGCACGGTGAGTGGCACGGTGCAAAAGCTTGAGAGAGGGGGCGGGGGCGGAGAGAGAGGGAGGGGTTAGAGAAATTAGCATGTCAATGAGTGGCACGGTGAGTGACATGGTGCAAAAGCTTGAAAAATTTAGGAGACAGGGAGAGAGACACACTGAATTAAATAACCTAGCAAAATTTCGAAATGTAATGTAATGCAACACAGAGAGTCGGTCAACACACAATTAACGCATAGTCTGGTTGATTACGTTTTTTTCAAAGATTGCTAAGTTAGAAGTTAAGTGTGAAATTTTAAAGAGAGACAAGACACAAACACGAAGAACAGACAAAAGCACAGACAAAAGCAGAAAGGGAGAGGGACAACAGCCAAGACACACATCTTGTGGCAAGCCAAAAGTGGCCCCTTGCAGCGTCACTGACATCGCGCCCTTCCCACGCGTTCCCGCGCTCGCCTCAAAATGGTGCCCGCTGGCCACGGTAGGTCTTCCAGGGGCAAAATGGCGCCCACCATATGCACGGTCTCTGGTCTGGACTGCTCTGCTCCCGCTCCGATGAAAGCTCCAACTGGGGTCTCCCAGTGACTTCTCTCCACGCCGCTGACCGCGGTGCACCTCCCATGACATCCCGCGGCCCCCCCTGCCACGTGGTCAGCGCGCGATCGAGGCCTATGGGCTTTGTAACCGGGGTCCCGGATCTCGGGGCTGCCGGAGGGATGACCGTCCCGCCGTCCACACTATGGGTGGGTTCCTCTTCTTGGTCACTTTGGAACACCCCACTTCTAAGACCAGATGTAGTATAGCACAAGTCGGAGACAAGGTAGTTGCAGAAGGCACCTTTATTCAGATCTTATCCAGTTAACAACTTAAAACAGATTCGCCCTCATACACTCTCTAGTCTAGCCTAGCCTAGACGCAACCTTGACCGTGTTACACTGATGGCGTCGACCAAGACTGCCAACAACTATTCGGCCGCGCAATGATCTGGTGAAGATGACAGCGACGAAGGTGGCAAAGACGACAGCGACGACGAGACGAGTCCACTCCCAGAATCGGCAGCCCGGAGCTCTCGCTCTCCGCTGCTTTTATCCTACTCGGCATGGCCTGGCTACCCCCTGGCCGCACCTCCCTTCTCGAACCCACTAGCGGGTTCTAGGGGCTCCAGATGAGGTCTTCCGTGACCCTTGCCCCAGTTCCTCCGCCCTGCCGGCACACCCGTGTATATGCCCAATAGCGTGTGTGCTAACTGTCCACCGCAGTTGCCGCTGCTAGACAGCAGTCGTCGCTATGCCACTACAAATGTATTTTTATTTTGTAAAGTGTCCGTAAATTGGTCACCATTGCACAAGGCGCAACACTTTATGTCTCAGTGGGTTTATCTCGTGGTTAAATAGAAATGGAGGCATTCTATTTTTGTAGGGGAAAAACATGGAAATGATCGCCAAACTTGTCACAGCTCCCTCTTTGCTATATTGCAAGGGGGGGGGGGGGGGCTATGATAGTTAAACCCTGTCGAGGGAAATATAAATAAATAAATACCTCTAGACAAATGGACACAACCTCGTGTTTAAAGATTAAAAGCCCCTTTCACATGAAAAATAACACGCTATTGAAAATTACTTTAAATCACTTGGCAAATTTCAGCAAGGGCAGTTTAAGCTGAACGGCTGAAATTACAACAGGGGCCGTTCATAAATGACCTCAAGTACCTCGGTGGGGGGGGGGGTGTCAGACATTTGTGACGATGTGTGACGAGGGGGGGGGGGGGTTGAGAAATGTGACGTCACATCAAAATGTGCAGCTTTAAATAAATATAGACAACACGTTCTACTTAATTAAATAGACTTTTTAATAAATGTTTTCTCCTACAATATCAGAGTGCAGCGCCACATTAAATATGCACTACAATGACAATAGTTTAAAGCGATTTGAAGCATGCAATTTTTTTTTAGGGGGGGAAGCAGAGCTTTGTGACGTCATATTTGAGGGGAGGTCTGACTTTTTGTGACGCCGTGTGACGAGGGGGGGGGGGTCAAAAATCGCGTGACGTCATTTATGGACGGCCCCACACAGTACGCGTCTTAGCCGTAAGTGAAATACGAAAAAACCCTTTATTATAGACGAGCACAATGTTAGAACATGTTGTATTCGCGAGACGAAACATCGAAACCCTGGCAAGCAACGCAGCCCCGTTATAAGCCTCCCGAAATTCGACTCTCGATTCCGCTCGCACTAAACAAACACGCCGTCGATTCCCGCAATCCCCCTGCCCGCATTGTTGTGCAGGGGGAGGGAATCGGTGGTCGCGTCTATAACGCCGGATCGATTCTCGGGACGCGTGCGTGAGCGTCATGGCGGACGTGGGGAAGGTCAGCTCAGGCGTTTTCGCCAAAAACGCCAAGAAGCGGATCACCAGGGCCCAGGAGAAGGTAGGGCGGTCAGAGAACACCTCGCTACCGTCACCACCATCATCGTCATCATTACCACCGCTAACTGCTGGCTTTGAGGGAATGGAGGACGGGGCAAAGGCGTGCTGGTGCGGATGCCCGTTGTCGGTGGATGCGGCAAGCTGCTGTGGTTTGGAAATAAATCAAAGAGATGAGCATGGGGGGTGGTGATGGTACAACGGGGCGCTGCCTGCCTGCTTGCGACAATACACGGCCTCCATCGGTCATCGCATCACAACATTCATACTCAACAGTGTCACATCTTCATCACCAGACACTGCATTATCATGCACGTCACCTGTCATTCTAACGTCACAAGTGCAGCAGTAGCATCATAATCATCATCCTGTGCCGATCATCTTGGCGCATCAGTAGCAGCATCGTCGTATTCGCATTGTCACATCATCATCATCATCCTCGCATCGTCATGAGCCTCACATTTTCACATCTTCCCCACATCCGATCACATGCTTATTGTAACTCAAGGAGTATTGATAATACTACGGGACGGGATACCACTCACCGTACAGTGGAGGCATTCTTGATGTGTGTGTGTGTGTGCTGGGGGGTGCCCAATGAAATAGCTCTTGACCGTTTAAAAGCCAAGTGAAAATGTTGTCCTCTATCTCATAGGTTAAATTAAAGATGGTGTCTATTGTTTATCAGAGCCTATTTTTCATGGCGGGTTTTTTCATCGGTTGTTACCTTGTCAAGCACCATGCATTTGTTATGCGTTTTAAAATGTATGCCAGCTGTATAAAATGATCTTCATTCACCAGAACACTCCACCTTATTCCTCCTTCTCTACTCCTGCAACATCGGCTCCATTCCCAGCCCTTGTCCCTCCATCCCTTCCGTCACCTCCCTTACTAACAGCCGCTCCACCCCACCCGTTGCGCCCCTTTTCTCTTTGTGTACCGCCGTTGGCTTGCGTTGTAAAGTGCCCTGGAAAGGGCGCTGTTATATACATCCTAAATAGAATATAATTCAAGGTTCGTGCTGGAGAACACACGATCATTGCTTGGCTTGGCCCCCCATGTGCCAAAAGCACGGCCGCTGAATCGTTATAATTGTGTTTTTTTGCCATGTTCTAGAGCAGTGGTCATCACCCCCCCCCCCTCCAACCTTTAAGGGCGAGTGTGCCCAGGCTGTGGCATGGATACCGTGCAGGATACATTTCAAATGCGCGCGGGAAACGTCAGCGCTACGTTCGCAGCTACAACAACACACTAACACGCACCATGAAACAAATGTCTTGCTAACACTACCCAACACATGTTGAAAAGCACGAGTTTAGAGTAAGTTTAGCCCTTCCAAAACCGAACAAAAACACCTTCATTTTTCCTGCGTTGTTGCATTCTTCTATTTAACAAACGTGGCTGTGCATACAAAACGTGTAGGTGCATGTGGTTATTGTAATCCATTTTGTATGCATCAGCGCATTTGTCAATAAAGAGCATATTGGTCACTGTGAACACAATTATACCAACACCGCAATAGCTAGCATGAAGGTACGTCAAACATCCCTTGGCCCACGGGGTGGTGAGGAAGGCCTTCCAGTAGTGGACTGACAAAGGGCTGTAAATTATTAAAGACAAATATTGCATTTGTGGAGGAATTGAAGAACCCTGGTGAGAAGACACAACGGAGATACAGTGCTCACATGCGGCTGCTTTCTGCTTCAGAGGAAAGAGCAAGCATCTATTAAATTATGGACCATGTCAACTGAGTGGTTGCACTCACAATGTTGAAGGGTAGGGATGTGACCAATGAATAATGTAGCGACTGGGGAGTATTTTCCTTGGACACGTGATATGTCATGCCACATGCTAGTGGGTACAGCACGCTGCAAAGGGGGTGGAGGGAATTTGTGTTTTATTCGTTTTACGTTGGTGCAATTCAACATGCATATGCTCAAGTAATAAGAGTAGACTAATCCGAGATGTATACATGTATCATATTATTACTGTATAAGATGGTATATACTGCGTAGAATGTGTGTTCTTCCAAAGTGAACAATTTTTTACAGTTATTTTTTATGTTACATGAAATGGTTTTAAAATATGGCTTATGGTGTGACTGTATGACGGTGGGAAATAAACAGTTATTTAGTGATGGTCTGATTAAAATCTGTGTTGATATATGAAGGTGCTGCAGAAGTTGGGAAAAGCTGATGAGACCAAGGACACACAGTTTGAACAGCTGGTGCAGAACTTCAGCAAGCAATATGTAAGCAACAGTAAAATACTAATGTCAACTTAATTCGCAATTGTAAATGTACGTTCATGTTTTATTGGTTCTAAATTTGTTTCGACAAAGTAAACACAGTGAGCACACAAGTATAATTGTTACGTAGATATAGGTCAGGATATTTAGGATATAAATAGAAGCCAATACACACAATTGTCTTTAAAACAGCGAAGTGGGAGTGGCTCATACACTTAAATTCATTGTAAAGATTGTACTTCTGTTAAAAATGGAAATTAAACTGAGGTTTTTGGGTGATGTGTTTTTTTTTTTATTTTGCAGCTATAATAACAAAGTTAAACATTGTATAAATGTAAATGTTTTCAGCAAATATATGTTTTGTTATACTTTCATCTGTTTAGGCATTACTTCCTATGAAAGCATTATTTAAACCAAGCTATTCCCTGTGATGTATGGAGGTTATGTCCGAGGAGAAAAGTGACCCTGTAAAGGGAAAATATAACACTGATAGCTCAGCTGCACGTTCATCAAAATTGTCTATTTCCTTGTTGAGCAGTTGCTATGTACTAGCAGTTCATGTGGAGTTATGAGCTTTGAAGACGCCTTTAAAATATTTCTTTTGTACTAATAGAATACCGAGTTGGACTTGAACAGGAATCCAGTTCTAGGTTGTTTGGGCCCCTTTCAACACAAGCTCCCTGAGCCTCAGTTCCCCACTTAATTAGGTCTATAATAGTCTAATTTAATTAAAGCACTTATGTTTGCACAACAAATAATATTATTGCATAGAAATCGTATAGATAAAATGTAATAATAGTGCTTATCTAATCTGTAAAAAATGCAAATACTTAATGTAAGTATATACTATATATTTTTTATGCATGTATAATTTTCAAATTCCCTCCATTTACCGCCAGCTTTTTGTTGTATTTTCCAGTTGCTAATTCCTGTGTTCTAAAATAGGGTGAAGGAACCAGGCTACATAAAGAAGTCAAGGCCTATCTGGCAGCAGTCAAAGGTAAATTTACTTAAATGCATAATAGGATAAATGTGAATACATTTTCAAAACTAACAAGATTATAAATGTAAGCGAATTGGCAGCTGGAATACTTAATTCACTGTATACACCATCAAAGTTATTTTGACAAAAAACTTTGCTTCATTGGCAGTATAAATTGTCAATTGTGATATATTAAGTCGCAAAAATAGGCTTGGCTAGTTTCTTACAAGACTATGTGGTGACTGCTTCATTGCACAGCCATGCACGAGTCATCCAAGAAGTTGATTGAATCGCTTCAAGAGATTTACGAGCCAGACTGGTATGGAAAGGAGCTCATTCAAGATATTGCGGAGGTATGTTTAAATATATTACACAATGATGCTGTATAACTATTATAAACATGTATTCCATTTTATGACAGTTTATTTAAAAAAAGTTTTCATTTTTCAGTTTTAAGCAACTAAAATTGTTTTTACTATGGAAGAAAAAAACAGTCGTTGCAGTGAGTAACCACACTTTCATATGACATGCTTCACTCAAATTTGAATGTCTGCTTCCTAACTCCTCTGCTTTAGCGGAACAATGAACTATGGGAAGATTTTCACCAGAAGCTGGTGGATCTGGCATTACTCACCCTCGATATATACTTGGGGCAGTTTCCTGACATAAAGGTACAGTTAGTTTGGATTTTTCACGATGTTTTGTCCATTAATAAAGTAATGACTAAAGTTGTAAACTGCAATTGTAAATTACCATTTATGTATACTTATTTGTACTTCAGATGCTATGTACTCGTGTTTACTCATATTTGTGCTATGTACTTGCATAATTGCCTATAAAAGTGATAATTAAATTGCTATATAGTAAGCACGCACGGATTATTTTAATTTAAATCGGACACACTTTTCGATATTATAGAAGCACGACAGGCAGTCACTGGGTTACGGAAGGGTTTGGTTCACAAGAAAGATCCGTAACCCGAATTTTCCGTACGTTGGAAACTCACCAATTTCCCCCCAAAATCAAGATTAAATCCCATAGCCGGAAATAGTTGTGCCTCTCCTACCCAATTACTAGTTCGTTTTCTCTCAGTCCTGTATCACGCTGTCCATTTTTTATCCCTACCTGTATCGTATCGCTGTACATACGCTCTACACTTCCTATGATTCTTTCATTTAAATCGAATATCTCCCCTAACACTACCCATAATTAAACTAATTGAACATATACTGTACAGGTGACCCCCGCACCTACGACCTAATTGGTTCCTGAAGTCGAACCCTTATTTCCCATAGGCACAATGTTATAAATTTGGGGTTCTGTTCCTGGAAACCTATTACATACCATAAAAATACCAAAATTGACCACGAAATTAAATGAAAATAACCCTACAAACATTTATTGTAATTTTGAGTAACTTTTACAAACATTCATTAAGTGAAAACAAACACATTTGAAAATTCTCAGACAGCAAAAGGCTAAAAAAATTAAATTTGAAGAAAATTGACGAAAAAGTGAAGAGCGTTCGCGAAAGAGATGCTGCTGCATTCGTTCTATGTTCAGCTGCATACTTGTCGGGCTATTCCGTACATATGCATATGGCAGAAGAACAAAGCAGTGCAATCGACTCGGTGTCAGCAGTCGTTAGGCGGTCGTAGAAACGAGTTTTGGTCATTACTGTGGGGGTCTTACTATAAGAAAGGTTATAAAAGCGGGGGGTCGCAAGTCGAGCCTTCGTAAGTGGGAAGTCACCTGTATCGAATTGTTTATGAATACCACGAAACATTTAATATTAATTGTTAACAGAAAGCAGTCACTTTGCAATGTTTGTTTATCGTGCCTGTTGGCTGAGACCATAAGTAATTGAAGTGTAATTGTGTTAAATAAAGTACATGCAGTAAATAACTCATGAAATCCACTTAAAATTAAGAAAACTGGCAATAGAAACATGGGAAAAAAGATAATTCTGAGCATAGAAAACAAACAATTACATATTATTCATCCGCAACCTCACCGCGCTGCACTATTTGCGCTTATCAAACTAACGCAACATTTTTCGCAAATTATTTTTTTGACATGTATTATGGGACCATTTAATTAAAGTCGAATTTCTGTAAGTCGAGTCTTCTGCAAGCTGGGGACTTAATGTACTTTGTAGTTATATACAGTGATAACAAGAGGAATGTACCATTTACAGACACGTATTGCCAAACGCGGCCGGAAACTGGTGGATTACGATAGCACCAGACACCACCTGGAAGCCTTGACATGCACGAGGAAGAAGGATGACTCCAAAATAAGCAAGGTGATACATACATAAGGAGCATGAGGAGAGTGCTATTTTAGCATAATTTTGTCTGCTTGGCAACAAATACATTAGTTACTCATATTTCCTCTACTGTCCACCAGGCTGTGCAGAGACAGTCTTCTCTGGCCGGTTTCCATGCTTCTCCCATGGCTATATAGAGCCAGGCTCAATCATACCCCACCTATTTGTCTCTGCAAGGGCCAACCATGGAGAGGGTTGGCCCTTGTGGCCAACCTGTCCAACTTTCAGGACAAACATGCCATTAGCTTGGTGATGGGCAACACAATGGCCTCCTGCCTAACTTGCTGCCTATTGCTGGCACATGAGTGGCAGCTTCATCACAGGCTGCAGGCCTGGGCACTGACATGTGCTATAGCCTGCCTGTTGGCTCAGAGTCTGGTGATGGCCAATTCTGCTCCCATGATCTTAGGTCGTGCGTGAGGAAGTCGGGTCAAGCTTCCACCTTTGACAAACCATTTATCAGGACAGCATGTCAATGACCATTTATTTTACAATCTACATATAAAATGCAAGTATTCAAATGTATCTTATTGGTTAACAGTCGTGGCACATTATATATGAGGTGTTTAATCTCATTGTATATTATACCTCAATAATTGTGAGTTTGAAATCACATGTTTTTCATATATTAATTTGCAAAGGAATAGTATTTAAGTTGGTTGAATAGTGGTTTATTACACCACTCCACTTCATTCTGTTGCAGCATTATTTAACATCACATTAACCTATTGACAATGGTGTAGAGATGATGATTGCAGAGACTCAAAACTTGCCATTGTAAGCTGCTGTTTGCAAGTATATGTTCTTTATGTTTGTGGAGCCAGGCAGAAGAAGATTTTCTGAAGGCTCAGAAGGTATTTGAGGAGCTGAATGTGGACCTGCAAGAGGAGCTGCCAATCCTTTGGAATAGGTACAGATTAGATTATATGGATAATGAATAATGTATGTTGTGAAATGTATTCTGTTGTTAAATATTCTTGGAATATGTGACAAGAAAATAATACACTTCTGCCAGCGACTTGCATGCCCATACCTAGGCCTCAGCAAGGTAAGGTAAAAGTTTAAAGGTAAAAACAACGAACATACCTTTACCTTACCTTTTACCAGAGGTGTGGACTCGAGTCATGTGACTTGGACTCGAGTCAGACTCGAGTCATGAATTTGATGACTTCAGACTCGACTCGGCAAAATGTACAAAGACTTGCAACTCGACTTGGACTTGCATAACAATGACTTTGTCCCACCTCTGCCTTTTACCTTACCACAATACAATCACTCTACCCTACCTTTTACCCTTTAGCACAGCGGTCGGGAACCTATGGCTCGCGAGCCATATATGGCTCTTCCGGTGACGGCATATGGCTCCCAGACAAATTTGAGTTGAAAAAAATAATAATAAAAAAATAAAAATAAAATCAGTTTGGAACTGATTTAGAAATACTTGTGATATTGCTTAATAATACTGTGTAATTTTAAAGTAAACAGAAATTAGTTTTGAAGATAAAATTTCTCGGGTCACGGGTTCCGTGACCAGAAGTCGCATTAAAAGTAAGACATTTAATTTATTATACGTTAAAATACTATATGGCTCTCAATGAAATATATTTAGAAATATTGGGCTTTTATGGCTCTCCCAGTCAAAAAGGTTCCCGACCCCTGCTTTAGCAGGTAAGGTAAAAGTAATAGGTAAAAAGCAACGAGCCTACCTTTACCCTACCTTTTACCCTTACCCCATACAAATTACCCGATTACAGGGTAATTACTAGGGAACTACTACACATGAACAAGGTTTATAACGGTAAATATTAGATAGAGCGCTTTATTCATATAGAATACTTTCGATGATTCCAATTTTACACGCTTTCTTTGAACTCACTATTGTCGTTATTGATGTTGTCGCTGTTGTCATTGTTGTTGTCGTCGTTGTCGTATCCTCAAATCTTGTAATTCAATTTTTACCCACTTCCTAATGTGGTATCGACTGCAAACTTGGTATGCATATGTCATAATGGTGACAATACTATATTATATCACTTAAAAAAGTATATATTTTTAAACAATCTTTTTTATATGTTATGTTTCGGCTTGGCTCTAATTGTCCACGCTCAACTAACGTTGGCTGTAAATCACCACGGCCCCTTACGTTATGGCAAGCCTCGGGGCCACTTCCTGGAGTCGTGGAGTTCTGCCATTACTGGTACATTTCATAAAAGCGTGTTTTTAATAAAGTTTTTAAAAATATTAATTATTAAATGGAGGCCACGGATTGCGCCACGGAGCTTCTAGCGGTAAACAAGGTACCGTATTTACCGGGTAATACTCCACGCTACCTTTACCCTACCGGGTAATTCTTCCGAGCTACCTTTACCCTTTAACCCTTTACCTTACCCCTTGGCATGTCGACACCTTTACCCTTTTACCCGGTAAGAAGGGTAAATTACCTTACCTTGCCGAGGCCTACCTATACCTACTATAATAACCCAGGAATGTCCTTAACGCTCGTGACGTCACTCCACATCGACCAGCCCCCCTCAATATTCATGAGCAGGTGACATCCTCCAAATGGACACCCCCCCATTATTATTACCTACTATAATGAGCCAAGAATGTCTGTGTGCAACGCTCGTGACATCACTCTACGTTGACCAGCCCCCCTCATTAATAATCATGAACAGGTTACGTCCTCCACATGGACACCCCCCCCCCCCCATTCATAATAATTAGCGGCTGATGTCACTCACATGGGGAGCCGAGGCGCCTCCTCCCCCCTCCTCGGCGTCAACTTGCAACCCTCACTACAAAAGCAGAACCCTCATGTCACACGATATCCGTAACGCTATTGAGACATCAAGTAAAAAGTACGTCATGATGAACAAGGGATTATAACCTTAAAATGAAATAGGTCTGTGTTACCGCGCCCTTACAAATTGCACAAGCATTAATGCAATGAATATCACGTCACGGTCTGCGTTTCGCTTGCAAGTTTCAGATTTACTGCAATACACCTGTCCTTGGATGGGTAAAAGGCTGGTGTTTTAAAGATTTATTTAAAATATGTATTCTAACTTTGTCATCTTGTTTTTATCCTTGCAGCCGTATTGGATTTTACGTGAACACTTTCAGAAGCATTGCAAGTCTGGAGGAGAAATTTCACAGAGAGATTGGTCTGGTAAAACTGAAATACTCAAAAGTGAAACTTTTTGCTGACATCTATCAAGTGATGACATGTTTTTGGAATTGAATTTTAAAAAGTGGCATGACTGCACAGATTTATATGCTGAATTCCTCGGCTGTTTTCAGCCTAGGTGTCTAGATTCAGTTGGTTCAGTTCTTTCCTGAACTTGATAAAATGTGAGACATTACTAAGATATTCTTTTTGCCTTACAGATAGGTGAAATCACTGTGATATTATTCCCAATGTATGATAGTCCACTCTTAATTTTTTTTTAATTGGAATTTAAATCACAATGAAAATGTTGGTTCTATCTCTTGCATGTTTCCTGAGGTTGGATTGTGTATTTATGAGCTAGGACGGATCTTGCACGAAATAAACAGCTACAACAGGGGTCGGGAACCTTTTTGACTGGGAGAGCCATAAAAGCCAAATATTTCTAAATATATTGCATTGGGAGCCTTGTAGTATTTTTAACGTATAATAAATTAAATATGTCTTACTTTTAATGCGACTTCTGGTGCTGCATGGTTTTGCTGATGGCCTTGTAGTCTGGTTCGTACGTGGTGAGGTTGAGCTTCATGCAGGCGTTGAGGCCCCGTGACTCGTGAAATTTATCTTCAAAACTAATTTCTGTTTACTTTAAAATGACACAGTATTATTAAGCAATATCACAAGTATTTTAAAATCAAAATTGTCTGGGAGCCATATGCCGTCACCGGAAGAGCCATATATGGCTCGCGAGCCATAGGTTCCCGACCGCTGAGCTACAAGAAAATATATTCTTTGGTTCTTTCGGTAAAGTCATGTCGATAAAAAAAAGTGAATAGAAATAAAATAATAATTAAACGAAAAAACACTAATGTTTACTGTAGCCTGGTTATTATAATTTTTCTATATACGTGACTTTATCGAAAGAACCAAAGAATACGAATTCCTGCAGTCACGAAAGTTTTAAGTCAAAATACAAGAAAATAGTTGGTGTATGTACAGTGTATAGATATGAATGTAACTGTATCTGTGTATTTTGAAATTGGAAACCACACAGTTGGGAACTAAAATGCACTTTTACAACAAAGGTACAGGCCATTCTTACAATTGAGACTATGTTTGTTCATTGAGTTCTCACCTGGTTAAACAAAATAAACATGAACTTTTCAATATCTCTTTTTAGAATATAATTTGAAAATACTTTTGTGCAGATATGTTTTATGTTAGCATCTGTGGTGTAAATTGTAGTCTAAAAATAATACACGTGTTAATAGCACATTAGTTTCATATTTCAGCATGTGTTCATTGATTAAAGAGAACAAAAGGCTGTCTCATTAAAAGGAGATATGTGCTGATATTTTAAATGTACAAAATAAAAGTATATTAAATGCTATTTTATGTTGAAATCAATGTAACACTAGTGTTTTTCTAATTCCAGATTAAACCCACGTGTTGTTGATAGGCAAGTCAATAAAAAATTGAAATATGCTCATCGTATATACATCGTATAAGAATACATGATTTAATTCGTTATTCACTTGATAAAAACAATGCTAATTGTCTTTAGGTTAATACAACAAACAATACAAACAACATAGAAAATATGACCCACAATGCAAATGAGAGTAACAAACAAAAACAATCAAAGGTTGGATGAAATAGTGTTCTTGAATCGTGATAAGCAATTCACCTGGATGGTGGATTGTTAAATGCTTATTGATTGAGACCTCTTTAATAAAATAGGCTTGTTCTGTGTCTATACAACATAAGGTCACTCAAATTATGCTGTTGGTGTTCCTCCACTGCAGCTGAACCACGAGCTGTACGAGGTGATGGTGAAGCTCGGCGACCAGCACGCTGACCTGGCCTTCAGCATTCGAGGTGCACCCAGGTACTAGAGATTGACACTGCCCTTGTGAATAAGGGCAGCACTTTTAGTCTATTTTTTGTCACAGGCTGTGTGTGCACACTCACATTTTCTGTTATAGTGTTGCTTCATGACATGATTTTTTTTGTTGACTCAATGGTTATGCATATGTAATGTTCTTGGAAGGAGTCTTCGTAGAGGCAACACGCTTTATTTCACCAAACAGTTACACTAATCCCTAATACAAGGGGTAATGGCCCCTTTCACCCACAATCTGGGGAGGTACAGCCTCCGGGCTATCGTACCTACAACTCTCCCGACTTCAGCCCTCCGGCTAATTAAACCTAGGGGAGGCTGACCCACTACTGGCCCGGTGGGTCCCTGACCACTGGCCCATCCGGACCTGGCCCTCACAAGGGCATCAGGCCGAGGGAACCTCAGGGTTCTAACCCCACGACCACTGGCACCGCACTGAGCCCCGGCCCTTAGAAGGACGTCGGCGGTTTGGGGTCCAGGGTCTTCTTCAGGCGGCTTCTGGCTTCGGCTTGAGATGGACTGCCTCGCGCTCTCGGGGACCCGCCTTATATACTCTTTCTCCCTGAGGGGCAGGGTTCTGGGGGATCGTAGCTCCTGCCAGCCCCCTCCCCTCAGAGGGGTTCCAACTGCCGTTGGCCCGACCGGTCCGGACCGGTTTCTACCCCTCCCCCTGGTTGTGGCGCGTGTGTGTCAATCATGACGACCACACATACATGATTTCTAGAATATGAACACGCGTAAGTTTTTCACGAAAGCCCAGGAATGTACAAGTAGTTGATATTGAGTATTTCTGAATAATTTGCCAGCCTCTTGCCATGATCTAACGGAAGTATAGACTCCAGCCCTAGATCATGTGGTTTTAATCTCATCCATCGACTTATTTATTTTTAGTAAGAGACTTACGTTGCTATACTGTAGTACTCTATATTTTAGAAAGATGTTTTTCATTTTTAAAATATACATTGGTAGGCTCGGTAATGACATATATTATACTGTAAATAACGCACAATTATATTTTGTGCATGGATAACATTAGTTAATTTACACTGATGATGTAAATTACTTTTCATTAATTGTACCTTAAATGATTGATTCCAACTTTTTTTGAACCACTTGAATAGTGCTATGGTCGATTGATTTAATTCATTGTGTGATGTACCAAGTATTATATTTTTTGTTAAAGGGTTTTTAACTAATGAATGCATGTATGTTTAACTTCTTTTGCACCGTGCATAGCCATCCATGCTAATTGGAGGTGCAGGGCAAGGACAACAAAATAAAGAAAAAAATCACCTGTAAAAAATGTAACTTAAACTGTTCATTTATTCGTCTTGCACTCCAAATATGTTCTTCTTTATAACCTGGTTTTCTCTTGACCCTGTGTAACAGTGATTCAGGGCCACTGAAGATAACGGAGACCCCGTGTTCCCCGCCGGAGATCACCGTGCAAGCCCCCACCTCCCTCTTCACGGGTGATGAGCAGGCACTTGGTCCAAACCACATGTCAGCTCCTCTCAAGTCTCCATCACTGGTTCGTGTAATGTTCGTTTAAATTTGTTGCCATAAATCTTGTGGAAAAGTTTTACTCGAGTAGGAGCTAATTGGCTGTGTCTCTGCTGATTTTTTTTCAGGGACGCAAGGGGCCGCCAGTACCACCACCACCGAAGCTTACGCCCAGCAAGGAAGTGCAGCAGGAAGCTATCTTCAGCTTGTTTGATGACAACTTTGTCCCAGACTTTAGCAGCGCACCGGTACAGAATATTTCGTTATATCTTGTCATAATTGGCATCTTCATTCTACTGAATTGTGGTCATGATTTGCATTATCGTGAATTAACCAATTTTGGTAGAGGTCCCCTTGCCGATATGCCTTCTGGTTGCCCCGCGATGTTTCTGTCCACGTGCTGAGAGCTTTAGGATGTAAAGAATATATATATAAGTATTCCCCGTGATGTCTAAAATTGGCACACGATTATTAATTAGCATACTATATGATCATACCTGTCAACCCCTTATCAGTGCCTACATTATTACAGGCCAATTCAGACCTTATTATTCACCCCGTGCCCTTATAAATCTCAACGTTCATCCTACAAAGTCTCATCACAAGAGAGAAACACAAACAAATAGACATTTTTTTTTGCTCGTATTGAAACGGATGTATGCCATATGGACCTGAAAACTCAATTTCCCTGTACAAAAATACAGAAAAACCGTACGGATTGACAGGTATATGTAATTTATCATTAAATAGTTTTGAAGGTAATTCTTATCATAATCTGATATTTAGCTTGCATACTTTATTATGGTAATATACTTTTTGATACTACTTGCATATGTTCTTTGTAGGCAGAAGCAGCTAAGAAGGATGAGGGGAGCTTGTTGGACATCGATTTTGACCCTCTGAAGCCAGACATGGCCACAACTCCCATGAGCCCTGCCATAAACCAGGTTGGTTTTAAATGCTTTATCAAGTGTTGAGATCTTCTTCACCTACATTGCATGTTTGTGCAAATGGTTAATTAAACTGTCTATAAAGTTTAATTTAGATACATGTGTAGTGTGATATACAGAGGCGCACACAACTAGAGTTGGAGGCAACACGTTTATTAACAACTTCTCTAACCACTTCAGGTTCTATAGCTAGGTGCGGCTATATTCTTCGCTGTGTGCGTGCGAGTTAACGATAACGAATGGGCCAGTCAGCACACACGCTGCCTGACCCACGATGCTGAGTTAAGACTCAACCCGATGAATGAAGAGCTAAGAGACTGGGACCCCAGGACGATTCCCACAAATGAGCCCCGATCCCTGTCGGGGCTCCCCCTTTATTTCCTTGGCCGCGGCCTCGCCCCGTCCTCGGCAACGCCCCCTCCTGTATCAAGTCAGGAGCTCCCGGCTCCCTGTCACGTGTCCCTTAAGCCCCCGAGGGAGGTTCCCGGCGCTCAGCAGCACTCCTATTATAGTGGCTGGCGCTAACACTGTAGGGACATCAATTACGTCACTACACGTGTAGTGACGTAATTGATGCACTGTCAGCTTTTCTCCTGTGTCACTTTATTACTTCGCATCCCGTACGGATGTTCCTCACTCTTTACACAACGCAGTCTTGCTCCGAACTCTCTCTTTCTCCGCTAGCTTGTCACTTAATACTCCGCTAGCCTGTTACTGAATACTCCGCTAGCCTGTCAACCTTCTCTCACACCTCCAACCTCAGCCAACACCGCTGGGGAGGACGATATGTGTAGGGCGAGGTCCCAGGCTTCTTGTCGCTGGCTCTTGTCCTCTTCGTTCCTTCAGTTCCAACCAACTCAATCCCGTGTTCTCCGCACACCCCTTTATATTCCCCTCCTCATTAAGGGTCCTCAGTTGCCCCCTATTAAGCCGGCGCCTCGGCGGCGCCTCCTGTACATGCTTTCTTTCCCTTATCTCAAACTCCCGTCTCTCCGGCGCCAACTCCGTGTTGGCCCGCTTGCACCTGCCTGTCCTCAAATGCACCCACCTAATTACCACTTCTCCCCTTAATTGCTGGCGCTTCTCTGGCAGCTGTTCCATGTCCTAACGCTTGCACTTGCTCGCCCTGAAATGCACCCGCTGTTTGCAAACCCCACGCGTGAATGCATTCGCTATTTGCAAACCTGCGCGTGAATGCATCCGCTGTTTGCAACTCTGCGCGCGTTACGCCACTACACGTGTCAATTAACCAACCAGTCTCTTCCATAATGTAAATTATTAATTTGTAGCCTCTTAACATCTTACCAAAAATTAACTAAGGCCACAAAATGTAAACAACACCCCAGGTAATATCCATTTACAGAGAACATATGGAAATTAGAGACATCAAATTGACTGTTAAGAAGAGTAAGTTGACTAAAGCAGGACAAATCGCGAGAAGAGATGATGGTCCAAACTGATAGCGGAGTGGCAGTTCAGGGAAAGTACTGTACATGCCCAACAAAGGTTGATATCTGGAGATATGGAGTAACGAGATGAACGCATGTACAAGAGAGAGTTGGATTGCTGCATCTTGAGACTTCAGGCCTTCATCCAGCTGCCAAGGGAGCACAACTGGAAGTGGTTGCAAAGCAGTAACAAAGCTGTTCAAATAAAATATCGGCCCCTATGCAAACAACTTAAAATGGGGTAACGTAATGTTGTATTTGGTAATATGTTGTCATATTTTAAATATAAGCAACATTTATAGCAATAATGGTAACTATAAGCAACTGATTTAAAATATACTAGGTAAAAAATGTTTTTTCATGATATTTTTTGTGTCACCAAGATGCAGTTATGATCAAAATAATTGTATTTTTGTAGATATCTCCATTGCTTTTGTGGTTTCTTCCCAACGCTGCCAGACGTTACTGTTTGATCTTGCATGGGAGGTAAGTGTTGAGTATATTTTAGTTACAAAACACTTGATACAACACTTTATACATTTATATAACATTTCAATTATTGAATATGTAATTGTCTTCGAAGTATTACACGATATAAATTACGTAGTACTTTGGTATTTAGCATACAGTTACAAAGCCCAGGCATAGTGAGGTGAACATGTTAGACATTGAAAAAAAAGTAATGGAGAAAATGTTCTGAATAATACATCCAGTAAAGCTCAGTCAGGTTAGAGGGCAGCTTAAAAAGGGATAGTTTTGATGCTTGGGTTTGAATAGTTGACATAACCATTTATCAACAACTACATTACCTTAGCTGGCTGAGTAGCGTTGTAGTCATTATAATTGACTCACAATCGAAAGGTCGTGAATTAAAATCCTTGTTGGATATTGGCTCAACCAATTGTCTCTGGGTCTGATGAAATAATTACTGATATGCAGGAATTCACAAGTGGTTATTGTTTGAAGATACTAGTATGCACTCGGTGAGTAGTGTGGAAAGTTCAGCGATGAGCACCTGTTTTTTTAAAGTACAAATAGCGAACTCTGATTTAACCGTATAAAAATATATCTCCTGCATTGTATTGTTTCTTTTCACAAAAGGCAAGTCCTCAGCAGGTGCAACCTCCTCCTCAGCCTGTGATGCCGGTTGAAACTGTGATTCCCGTTGAGCCTGTGATTCCCGTTGAGCCTGTGATTCCCGTTGAGCCTGTGATACCAGCGCAGCCAGTGAGTATGGATTTTGATGCTCAAAAGTATTTTCATGTTCGTTAGTCTTCGTGATTATTTTCTGTTGTCGTTTATTGGTGTGCATTAAAATAGTTTGCATCTATCTCCATGATTGATTGTAGCATTCACTTTAAGAACTGGTACATTTGTAAATACACATTCTTTAAATTCCTCGTTACTATAGTATTGCTGTGTATTTAAATCTTAACTAGATTGACTACCCGGCTTCGCCCGGGTCTTGGATCTACGACGCCCGGCCGCCTTTGTCTCCCCAGTGACGATGTTCACACACGACACCAGTTACGCGTTTGAGGCTGAGTGGACCTAGGGGAGGCCCAGGTCCGTTTCTAATAATCATCAGCGGTGGTGGGCGTGAGTGGGAATCGAACTGGGGTCGCTCAACCAGCTTAATGACTATTTGTACAAAGAACATATAAAGAATCGATTATAATAAGCAGGCTACAGTCAACATTATAGACTGCCAGTACACCCACTCAGCTTCATAAGCAGGCTAGAGTGTACATGATAGAGTGGCAGTACGCTCACCGAGCTTAGTAAGCAGGCAACAGTCTACATGATAGACTGGCAGTACGCTGACCCAGCTTAATGACTATTTGTACAGTGAACATTTAAATAATCGATTGTTGGCGCATTGGGTTTAAAAGTAATATTAATTGCACACATTGTGGTGGGGGTGGAGTGAAGAGTACGATAAACTTTGATGAATTTACCTCAGAGTCGCATGGTGGGTGTCGAGGCCTAGTAGCGTGCAGAGCCTCCGGCCTCGCCAAAATTGCCCACCCGGCAGAGGCAGGGTACGGGTGGCATTCCTCCCCCCCCCCCGCGCTACAATAGTACTGTGTAATCGCTATTATTTAATTATCTACGGAGCCTATGAAAGCGGCGAAGGCGTGGCTACCCGTTGCCAGGGGCAACCGCCGTCCAATTAAACTGCAGCCCGCGGCGAAGGCGTCGCTAGCCGTTGGCAGGGGAAACCGCCGTCCAATGAAAGTGCGTATGGTCCGGCGACACACACACACAGACAGACAGATTCGCGATTTTATATATATAGATTTCTTTTACATTTCACTTACAAAAGCTCTTTTTTACATTCTTATTTTATGTTTTGGATTTTCCTTATCTTCTATTTGCTGTCTCTTTGTCTCTCCATCTTCCTCCGCAGCAATCAGAGCCTGTGCAAGGCCATACCAGCAATTATATGTTCACGGATTACTTATTCAGTGAGCAGCCAGGTAGTGCAGGTGAAAGCGAAGAAAAAGCTTGCTGGAGTTGGGATAAACAGGAGGAGCTTGAAGTTTCACTTGTCCAACATGAGCAGTGTAATTCTGAAAGCGAACCTTTTAAAGTCGTCCTTGGCTCGTTTGACGGCAGTGTCAGTGCAGAGTTTTCTATGAAGAGTGATTGTGCAGATGTAGATGTAGGAGAGAGAAGTGTAGCTTCTGCACAATTAGACGAACAGAGTGGTGAGGCTATGCAGTTTGAGAGTCAATGTGTGTCATCTGCCCCTGATAAATCTGAAAGTTGTGAACAGGATGGAGATATTTTGGATGAGCCTCGTCATGGTGCTTTGCAGTTAGCAGATGATGTGTGTGCTAATGTTGAGTCAGATCAAGAGCAAGGTAGGGGTAATGAATGGTCCCTTGAAGTGATTCATGACACAAATGACCATTCAGAGAAGGAATCCGATGATGAAGGTCGAGTTGTAGGTAGTCTGTGCTCTGCATACAATGTGGCTAGCAGCTTAACATCAAACAAGTATGGAGATAAACAATCGGTAAAAGATGAAGGAGTGTTCGCTGACGATCACAGAGAACACATGCATGCCACTGACGAGGTTGCAGCTGAAACATTAGACATTCAGCCGAGTGCTGAAAATGAGGAGGGCTTTGATCAGCATAGGAGACAGAGTAGTCAACAGGAGGCAGAGCCAGAAACAGCAGCTGAAGAAGAGGAATACAAGGATTCCCATATTGCTGTGAGTACACCGCTCCATACTGATGCGGGTCAAAATGTAGATAAGGAACAGTTGATAAGACCTAGATGTGAGACAGCTGTGGGAGTTGCAAGTAATCCTGATGTGTCAGTTAATCAATCCGAAGTTGAAAAAACGCACATCTCCATTGCATCTGAGGATTATAGTATTGATTCTGAGTTAAAAAAATGTATCACATCAATTCGTTTATTTTCCGATAACAGAATAGCTTGTGAGAATGATTGTACTCTGAAACAAGAGGATGAGATGTCAGGTTGCGAGACACTTACGAATATTTATGCAACAGAAGTTACTGATGAAAAACATTTAGATATGTTAAACTTTTTTCCAGATCAGGACAGTTGGTTGAATGAGGCATTTGCCAACAGAGGGGATGATTTTCAGGAATTAAGCACTGATTTAAAAAAAGTTCTTGAGGATCCTTTGTCCTGTAAGGATTTCATTGCCTCAAAAACCCTAGTAAGTAATAGCTGGACCCAGGATGTGGACACAACCTCAGAATTTGGCACAGCTGATAAAATATACCATCAGGATAATGTGAATGAGCAGGGGCATTCGGTGCCTGATTGTATGTCAGAGGTTGTTGGGGAAAGTTCTCGGGCAGATGTTTCATACACAAAAAGTGGTAATGACAAAAGCAAAGATGCCAAAATACCTACAACAAATACAGATAACTGGGATAGTAGACATAGTATGAAGGGAAGAATTGGACAGAAACATGAAGACAATATTGACAATATGCAAGATAGACATGAGGAGCTCCTCTTCAAATCAGACGACAAAGAGAAAGAGGTAATAACACAATTTGAATTAAACCATAAAGCTCTTGAAACTCTGGTAGAGGATTGTGGAATTGTTTGTGAAAGTGAGATATCTTACATGCAGGACAACACTATTGCTACAGATGCTGGAAATGTACATGTTTCCAAAAAGAATGTAGAGGCACAACCTGGCCATCAAATAAATGTCACAGTGACTTTCACAAGGAAAGCGCAGCCTAGCACAGAACACAGGCATGTAGCAGCCCAGGATGGGGTTAAGGCCAGGCAATCCAACGACTCCGAATTATCTGAAGATGAGGCTGCCGACCTTCGCTACGCGAGTTTGTACGGGCGGCTGGAGGCTGAGGTACCTTATCAGGTCCCAAGATGTAGGACTTATTTCTTGACCAATCCAGCAATGTACTTGCAAATCCTTTCCCTAAAATGTTCCCAATCCAGAACTGTTAAAGGGCATACATTTGCCATCCTTAGAGTAGATATGTACCTTTACTTCCCCAATGTTTTGACCCATAACTACTATAATCACCCAGGAATGTCTGTCCTGAACGCTCATGACGTCACTCCACATCGACCAGCCCCCCTCATTAATATTCATGAGCAGGTGACGTCCTCCAAATGGACACCCCCCCCCCACCCCTCATTAATAATCATGAGCGGGTGACATGACTCAATATGGAGTATCCCCCCCCCCTCACTAATCATTCGCAAGTGACGTCACTCCACATCGAACAGCCCCCCTCATTAATAATCATGAGCAGGTGACGTCCTCCAAATGGACACCCCCCCATTATTATTGCTTTTTATAATGAGCAAAGAATGTCTGTGTGTAACGCTCGTGACGTCACTCCACGTCGACCAGCCCCCCTCAATAATCATGAACAGGTTATGTCCTCCACATGGACCCCCCCTCATTAATAATCATGAGCAGGTGACATCACTCCACATGCAGCACCCTCCCCCCTCATTAATAATCATGAGCAGGTGACGTCACTCCACATTGAACAGCCACCCTCAATAATAAGGTGACGTCCTCCAAATGGACACCCCTCCCCCATTTATAATAATTAGCGGCTGATGTCACGCCACATGGGGAGCCGAGGCGCCTCCTCCCCCCTCCTCGGCGTCAACTTGCAACCCTCACTACAAAGGCAGAACCCTCACGTTACGCTATCTCCTTAACGCTATTGAGACATCAAAGTAACAAGGACGTAATGATGAACAACGGATTATAACCTTAAAATGAAATAGGTCTGTGTCATTGCGCCTTTACAAATTGCACACGCATTAATGCAATGAATATCACGTCGCGGTCTGCTTTTCGCTTGCAAGTTTCAGATTTACTGCAATACACTCGTCCTTGGATGGACAAATGGCTTGTTGTAAATAAGCTGTGTATTTTTCCCCCCCAAAAAATCTTGTGCTTTTTCATTCCTTTGCTGTCTTTTTTGTCTGATTTCCATACCCTGTTCTGTAAATCACACTGACAGTGGGAATACTGGGCCAAAATTAATGATTCCACTTTTTAACAAAAGCACATTTCATAGAACCACATTCACCATGGTGAATTTCAAATTGTGATTTTGAAAAGCCACTAAAGCACACATTCACATGGCAGTTAAAGCACCGTAGGTCCTTGGTGTAAATCCTACTTTGCTTTAATTGTACCACTTGTGAAAATGTACTGTAGGTCCAAGAACAGACTAAATGAATGTGACTTGAATGAGCAAGTGTAATCATTAACCAAATTCTAAGTGGTCCAGTAACCATAGACTGTCATTTTAGTAAAGCTGGGTAATAAGTTGTTTCGTAAATGAGTGAATGTTTTAATGTTTTAAATTTCTACGATTTTATTTGGCTTTTTTACATTTGGTTGTTTTCTTTTCAGATATACATTACCAGATTTTACGGCTACCAGCAGGTTGTGTTTTAATTATAATTTATTTGAGTTCTGTTTTGCTTTGTCATGTTTTGTTTGTATTTGGGATAAGTCGATAATACAGATTACAAGTTAACTCAGACTTTACTTGTTTGACAATCTTCACACCTGATAATGTGTGGTGAGAATATTATCAAGGAAGTGTGATGTCCTTAAACGAAATGTTAAGCCGCCAATCGCATATGCTTTATGTGGGCATAAAACATTGTTTACAACACTACTACATTTATTTATTTTCTCAAGTATATCAGTGCCTATGTTGAGCTTATGTGCAGTTTTGCCTTTGAACTGTTTATTAAGTGTTAAAATAATAGCTATATATTTTTCTCCCATCATTTGAAAACTGAAGTTGATCATAATAAGAAAGTTATGTAATACCCTTTTTAGCTGGTGGATTATTTTTGTTCACTATTTAATACACTAAAATAACTTTTAGTATGTGTGTGTTTGGAGTTTTAGGATTGCACAATGTTTAATGATCACAATCAAGAGTTTATTTTCCGAGTATACTGCATTGACATTCAGCTCTGTAATGTTAATGACGCCTTTATTTTTTCCCATTTTGTTCAAAGGATGTCAGTACAGCAGAAGAAACAAGCCAGGTAAGATAATGCAAATGTGTCACCTTATCGAATTAAAACAAATATACTTTGGTTCTTTCGGTAAAGTCACGTAGAAATAAAATAAAATAAATAATAGAATACGACGTTTCGATTGCAACACAAGCAACCGTCATCAGGTATGAATGAATGCGAAAACAAACCCAGTAAACTTAGAAATGTAATGCAATGCAACACAGAGTCGGCTTCTCTCTCTGTGTATGTCTCTCTCCGTGTCTGTGTTTGTCTCTCTCTCTTAACTTTAAATTTAGCAATCTTTGGAAGAACGTAATCAACCAGGTCAAGTGTTAACTGTTGTGTTAGCCGACTGTGTTCCATTGCATTACATTTTTAAGTTTACTAGGTTTGTTTTCTCATTCATTCATACCTGATGACGTTTGCTTGTGTTGCAATCGAAACGTCGTATTCTATTATTTATTTGATTTTCTTTCTACATGACTTTACCAAAAGAACCAAAGAGTAATTCCTGCAGTCACCAAAGCTTCAAATCAAATTAAAAACAAATATCTAACATTGAATATTTCTAGTTATAAAAGTAATGCATTTTTAAAGTGAAAAGTTGTTTTAATTATGTATTTTGTCAATCACAGAAACCTGCATCTTGGGATGAAACTAGTGAGGTGAGATGTGGTATTGATTTGTATTACATTGATATGAAAATAACTTAACACTGGTGACAGGTGACTTAGACTTGCTGACCCACCAATACTGGACATCTGAAAAAGAGTTTCTGAGCTCATCAGATTCCTCCTGTCTAAATAAATATTCAGATTTTGAAGCATATATATATCATCTCTGCTATTTTTTCTCCAATGCTACTTGCTTAAAATTTTATGTTTCTTATACAATTAATCCATTAAAGGTGGTTATAAAAACCTGCTTTCGTCATTGTTCAGGCTTTTTTGGCATAGAATAGGCAGAGTATATATTTAAAGCTGGTGGAAAAATAAATGGAAACAAAAATACTGCCATTTTTATGTTCATACATATAAGCAGTTCTTTTTTTACTTTATTGCATCTATTTATGATTTCATACGAGTTACCATTACACACCATGGCCATGTATAGTGAAGGAATGGCAGATCACTTATGTATAGAAAGCTGACAAGATATACGAGTAAGGAATGTCAAAAGAGGTGTTCAAGGTCTTTTTACTCTGTGTATGTTACATCTGATCAGACAATGGAAGCAGCCATGGGTCCTTTGGTTAAGAGCCCTGAATCTGAAAGTGCTGTCGTTCCCGCTGAAATGGATGTCGTTCCCGCTGAAATGGATGTCGTTCCCGCTGAAATGGATGTCGTTCCTGCTGAGATGGCTCCCATCCCTATGGAGACTCCCATTGTGGAAGTAACTGCCAGCACCCCCACTGTAAGGCTCACCAATGTTTTTTTTTATTATTTGCTGTTGATGATAAAGTAATCGCATTGCACATATATCAAAATGCTAATTTTCTTGAAGATTACTATGTAACACAATTGAAATGCGGAATCGTGCACATGGATGATAATGTAAACAATGATAACTGCATTTTGTGTTTGTGCAGCCGGTGGACTCTGGTCCAGAGTTGGACATGGCATTTGTGACCAATGGAGAGGCTGAGGTTGAAGCAAGCAAGCATGTTGACACATCTTCAGAAAGCACTGACATGCCCCCTGGATTCTTGTACAAGGTGCAATTTATTAGAACAGCCATAAGATGTGTGTTAACCAAGGCTGCTATTTGTATACTTAAAATATTTGCAAGTAACTTGTCTGAAAACATGTTGAATTGTCAGTGATTGTGTGTTCTTGAACAGTGGATTCTGTAAAACTGATGAAACAATGTGCTCATTCCAACAAATAACTGGTTATGCTCGCCTGATTTAATTTAACACATGAATAACCCATTTAATACGAGCGTATTAATACTCATATTAATCATTGCTTCATGTCTAATTTATTATTTTTACCAATAAACAATACAATGTATGGGTGAAACCCTATAAACTTATCGTTATATCATTTTTTAACAGCACAGTTTTTTTTATATGGTTTTGTTGCAGAGCTTCATTACAGTTGACTATATTGAGGACTATAACTTTATGCATGGAGTATTGCTTGTGACAGTTCTTTCTGCATGAAGGTGCAGGCCGAGCATGACTACACTCCGCTGGATGCTGACGAGCTGACTCTCCTGCGTGGAGATGTGGTTCTCGTGTTGTCCTTTGAAAACGCCGACGAACAGGTACCGGGACATTCCAATATGTCCCTTTAGAATGCACCGACACAACAAAGAGCAACTGCACGACAACAAACGCTTTTGTGCAGTAAGGCTTCTTCATTTCTTCTGTACGTAGCTTGTTTACAATTGTTGCTTTTCATCTTTAAGTTCACTTTAACAGTCGGAACATTACAGCAGGGTGATACTTAATTGCCGCCTCAAGGTCAACCTAACCGAGCAAACCCTGTACACTGGTGAAGGTGATCTTGAGAACTTTTCCAAAGCTGGGTGTTCTGCCCCTTCCACAGGATGCAGGATGGCTCACAGGAATCAAGGAAGCTGATTGGTTGGCATACAAGGACCTAATGGGCCGTAAGGGTGTGTTTCCAGAAAACTTCACTCAACGTTTGGAGTAGTAGAGTTCTTTCAATGGCTGATTTTGCTTCATCCACGTTCTTGTTTAACACATCGACACACACAAAACAATATTTTCACAATTGTTTTCCTGATTTCAGAAATGGTATCAACTAAATATAAAACAGTTTTGTTTTTTGCAACTGCTTTGTTTGAAAGCATATCCCGAAGTACGTGTGACTGTGTTTACATTGAATCACCTTGGAATCCTATGACTGCAGAGTTTGAAAGTATTTTGCCAGACATGCAGTATTACATACCCATCATTATTTAACATAAGACCTTGTCTACCAGTTCGGTATAGCAATTTACATGCTCCTTTAAAGTGACGTTACAAGTGCTCAAATGTTATTTGTTAAACACTTGTTAGTTTTATATCATGATTCACTTCTCGGTCATGTTTTGAAATAATATCAAGTGTTCCTACATTATGTGCAGTTCAAAGGTTGAAAATCTTTGAAGTGTCAACTATTATACCAGGTAGGTAAGCAGTATGTGAAGATGCTTCTTCACTAAGCCAATGTAGTACTGCAGGTCTTTTGGCAAGGAAGTTTTTTGTCTTTTTTGCGCATGCTTAAGCAATAAGGACTAACCAATGTGCATTTGAAAAGTAGCAAGGTTTATTCATTGGCTGATTTTTCTCTCCTCTACATTTGTATAACATACACTCGCAGAACAATATTTTCACATCTTACTCAAAGGATATTTCAAATAATTCGTAAATGGGCTAACATCGGAGGATTTAGGCAAGGTGTGATTTGCCAACTTTCCATTGGGGGAAAATTATAGTCTAACCATCCCCATGACTGACACGGAATGCGGAAGCCTTCATCCAAAAAATAATTGCACACATAACAGGTAATATTGCCTCAATTTGTTATATACACTTTCGAATAATAATAATACATTTTACCTTGGGAAGCCTCACTGATTTTCCTCAATACTTTTTCAGGACGATCATTCTACATTTAAATGTTTGCCCATTACCAATAATGGGTGTTTGACTTCTTGTGGGACAAAACTACATGAGGCGGTGACATCGAGGGATTAAATGATCAATTGATCCTTATGGCAGTACCTCGGGGTATCAAATAATACAAAATAGCCGAGGCAATTCAATATTTAATTTCTGGGACACTTTTCCAGGGGTGTACTTAAATCCGCGACTGGGGTACCAATCAATCCGAAATCAGTGCTATGCGATGTTGAAACGCGGCGAGGACGATTGCGCTGAAACTCTGAACACTTGTATGCACCGCAGTGCACCGTGTACAGCTTGTCGAGATGAGTCGATTGCCGCATCGCCGACCATCAACAGACTAAAAATTACTGCATCACGGACATTGTGCGAGAGCCGGGGTACCGCCATAAGGTTCAATTGTCCTTCCATCTTCTGGCCACTTTGCAGCCAGCCCCAAACCTAAGCATTCAAGTATGAACAAAATCTTTTATATCCAGAGGGTATATAATTAGCTCCCTCCCCGGGTATGATGGTTGAAAGTGTAGTCATGGGGATAAAAGGATTTAACAGAAAGCAGAGCCCTGACTATCAAATCGCATCCCGGTTGTAGATGTGGATTTCCTTATTTGGAAATTATATTAGATCATTGCCAAGGAGAATGCAAATTTAGGTAATAATGTCTCCTATATTGTTCAGGTGACAATGACAATGTAATTTCTTACTTGGTCTCAAGGTCTAACATTAAATTACATTTTTACAAGTCGGCAAGCCATTGGTATCGTGTGTTTACCATAGTTAATGCCGTATATGTGTTGTGGTAGTTAGGGTTATGTTATTTCCCTTTTGTGTATGTATGCAAATGTGGTTATATTTATATAAATATGCAATATATTATTTGCCACTTAAATGAATAAACAAGTAAAATGTTAAATACTCCTTGTCTGAACATATATGTAAGACAAATCTGTCAATAAATATATTAAATGCAATCCTGTGGATTGATCACTGCATTGGGTTATTATTATTTTTTTATAATCTCGTGTACTTTACATTAGTTTTATAATTCAATTACAGAACCAATCACATTACTCTTAGCCACGTAATAAGAGATCCCATAAAACCAAAAATGGCTTTGCAAAGCTAGTCGGTAATGTGTACCTCTTGAATAGGCTAAGTGGTGAACACGTCAACACATTTACATGTTTCACACACCAACTGATGTATAGAAATTATATTGTGTGCAAATTATGGATTGTGAGAACTGCCTTATTTAGCATTTTTATATTTCAGGGTTAGATGTTGAAGCCCTGACTTGTAGACCGATTCAAAAATGAATAGGATGGAGCATAATCTGTACCATTGCAGTTTAAGCTAAAATAGACCCTCACAAAGGAATGTGCAATTTTTCTCTTGATTATTGCTTTAGGTGAATAAGGACTATCATTACATCTGATTAAGACCCTTTATAGCAGCATTTTTTACGTGGCAGGTTTCATCAGGTTCTTATTAAAAAGTAGTTTGGGTGTTTTTCTCCGTAATTACGAGCTTTTATTGCAAATGTCTGTTTAATGAAGACAGTGCAGTGTTTTAAACCAATTAAGGTGACAATGTAATGCACTGTGTTTAACATGTACCCAATTAAATGTAGAGTATCTCTTCCCACAGACCACTCGTAGTTATCAGTCATGATCAAATGGCAATTTTATTTTATACCTCTAATGAGAATGACATTAAAATATTTCAGGAAAACTTAAAACAATATATTTAATTTAAGATCTTAACTGTACACGTAAATTTGTGTAAGTGGGTATATATACCTAGGTAGAAATAAAAGTTAATACCAATGTTAATTATTTTCCAGAAACTATTGCACAACAAACGCAGCAATGCGCCATGAAAATCTTCTGCAGATGAGTGGTATTGCCCATTGAGTATGTTGTGTTTTCCTGTAAAGAAAGCTGGCCAGGAGTAAGCAGTACCGCCACAGGATGGCAGTATGGCAGGGAATTAATTACCTTTTGAGTGCGAGCTCCTCAGGTCCGTGGGTTTTCTTCTGGTGCAAGCATTTCCTCCAAGATTTATATATTATTGAAATTCGCTTATCCCGACTTAGAACCATCCTAAAAATATATATTCGTCAGACGCAGCCTGTTCTGGATAAAGGTGCGCGCCTGTAATCCAGCCCAGGGAGGCTCGGCTCGGTGGAAACTCAATTCCAGTGGTTGTTGAGGTGCCATACCCTGGCTGGCCAGGAGAGGGCAGTACAGCACGGATTAATCGCCATCTGTTTCGCATATCCATCATAGATGTTTTTGGGTTACATCGCGTAAATATAAATGTCGTTAAACCCGCCACCACCCGACAGGCAATTGATAAGATGTATCATGTAAACAAAACATGCTAATTATTTACTCGTTCAGCACACTGGTGTGTTGGAGAGTAAACCTACATTTACAACACTGCTGAACTAGGAACTAATTGGTATGTTTTGTTTACGTGACACCTTACTAATTGTGTCCGGTGCACGCTTAACGACACATTTCCGTGTTAAACTTTTTCTCATGTGTTTTCTCTCGGTGCTCCGATTTTCTCCCACATGTATAATAAACACTCACCAACTGGCTGAAGACGTCTGAAAAGAAAAAGCTAATGCGCGACCCTCCTGAGAAAAGGTTCCACAACTCAGTCTGGCTTTCCTGGATAAATGCTGTACGTAAAATCATACAGGGGCAAATACGCTTCTGACACTGCTTGTGCCAGAGCACGCAGCACCCTAGAGGGTGCTGTTAAACGAATTCTGGTGAGCAATCGTAACTCTAAAATCTTTTTGCCTTTGGGCAGCGCTGTGAATGAGATTTCAAGAAACAGCTGCATGCAATGGGTATGCCTGTTCTTTTTTGTTCAAGATGGTTATTTCACCGATTTAAAGAAGTGCCCGTGTTTAAAAATGTGAATGTGGTACAAGGACGACATTTATTTATCCCAGTCAACATTACACTTGACATTCCAAATATAATCACGTGGTAATTAATACTGGGGTATTGATAAATGTGTTTATGACAATACTAAACGAATTTTATTTGTCTTATATAGGGCGTTTAAATGCTTCAACATCTCAAAGTTCCTTATAGTACCTCACATCTCTTCTGAACCATTTGAAGGGGATCGCTATTCGCAGCTGTCTCTGTATACCATGAGGTAACTTCGCACCAGCCTGCATTTGGGCATTGGTCTACTTGTAGAGTGCGATGATTACTTTGTGTAATCTCAATGGAGCAATCCCAATATGATTCCAAGAGGTTTGGCTTGGATAGTTTTCCTGGTACCACCTATGCGTTTTAATAAGTGCGTCTACTACACTGAAAACTATCGATGTGCAATGCGTGGCTCCGACACATTAATTAATTCTTCGGTACAGCTTCGGTTCTTCTCTCGCTCTGCAGATGTTGACCACTCAGGTGGCTGCGCTGCCCCGCGCCACGTGGCGCTCACCCGCTCACCAACACGCCGCAGGCTGACGGCGCGCTGGGGAGCAGCTGAGCGGCTGAGGGGCTGGAGGTCGAGCCGCCACATGGCAGGTGGAGGTGGCAGGGCAGCAGCGACGGGGAGCTCCTCTTGATCTTCACACACCGACCCCGCACGTTGCTGTGCCCCCGGCTTATATTCGCTCCCTGGCGACTAAGCCCCGCCTCTGGCCACGCCGCTCCTGGAACCTTCAGGAACGTTCAGGAGGCATCCCTGGTGGATCCGCCCCATCACCTTTACCCCAGATATAATCCCTACTGTAGATAAACCGTAACTGTAAAAACAACGTACGCCCCACAATAATACAGGAGATGGCGCTCTTATTAGAGAAGTTCCCGACGATGACTTGGAGACAAGACTTAGGGTTAAGGGCTTTCGCCGTAAGTTTATTAAAGATATTGCGATAACACGCAGGGGTAACAACGTCCCAGGGGTTAGGGGTCCCGGGATAGGTCCCACTCGTTCCTGTCACAGCCGGCTGCCCTGTGCTGCCTCCTCTGCGCCAGCCGTGGGTTCAGCCAACACGGCTGAGGAGCACAGCCACCTCCGGCCCTGACGCTGTGCTATCCCCTATTCCTACCCCCTTGCCCCTGGCTCCCCGTTCCACCCTCTTCTGACCCTCGACTCCAGCTATGACCCCGCCTACGTCACGGGGTCCCCCCTTTATACTCCAGGAGCGGTGACGTCACTCCGCCGCCCAGAGTGCATGACGTCACATCCCGTGATGTCATCGCATTGGACAGCACAAATGATGCCACTTCCGCATTCCACTCCTCTACATCACCCCCCCCCCCCCCCCTTGAAAAAAAAAACAGCCGACCCGGCTGCAACCACAACGCAAGCGGGGCCCAACCCCGGACCCAAGGCCAAACAACGAAGATTGGTTGTGCCTGGAGGTAAAACCGGCTGCTAGAAGTAACCCAACCTTAGGGCAGCATGGCCCCCCAGGCACCACAAGAATAACAACCCTTTAAGAGTGTGCTCCTAATCTCAGCTCGTTACCTGTATAAAAGACACCTGGGAGCCAGAAATCTTTCTGATTGAGAGGGGGTCAAATACTTATTTCCCTCATTTAAATGCAAATCAATTTATAACATTTTTGGCATGCGTTTTTCTGGATTTTGTTGTTATTCTGTCTCTCATTGTTCAAATAAACCTACCATTAAAATTAAAGACTGATCATTTATTTGTCAGTGGGCAAACGTACAAAATCAGCAGGGGATCAAATACTTTTTTCCCTCACTATATAACCTCTTGCCACGGCAGCTCTCCTGCCCACTTCAGCTTTTCTTGCTGTGGTTGTTCCACCTGATTTGGATTGCTTGTGTTACGATCGAAACGTCGTGATTTGTTTTATTTTATTTCTGCCTACGTGACTTTACCGAAAGAACCAAAGAGTATGAATTCCTGTACAGTATTGCCAAATGCATCATGCTCGTTAAGAGGTCTTGAATGAGCATGTTACGTGCCAGTGCAGACAAAGATGTATATGAATTAGTAACATCATTCAACATTGTCAATAAACGTGTGGATTTAATCAAACAATTTACCATAAAAAATAAACTTTAGGTGAATTTCGTAAACTTCCAGAGGTAATAAAATATTATTATTCTGACCTGAACATTATTTTGAATAACATAACAAAAAAATATTGTGCTCTATTTTAGACCACAATAAAGACAAGCATGCCTGGAAAATTCGGGTTCATTTTAAAGTAAAATGATGATACATTGATTAAACATAGATATTAAATAATATAACAAAAACATAAACTTCATCCTCAACGATATAATTACAGTAGATTCAGTAGAAAAGTCGTGGCCAATCATTGCAAATGTATAAAGTTATAAAGATGCGGAAAGGCCTTTTTTGTGTGACCTGCACTTGGTATTTCCTGTCTGCTGTGTAAGAACACACGTGCTGAACAGTTGTGCTCTGTAATAGATGACTCAGTTTAAAATATGTACCTTGTCAGACTCTATGGGTTAAAGAAAATCCTCGTGAATTTTTAAAAGATAATGGCCTGCTACGCATACGATGGGAATGTGTGCAAAAGTTATGACGCAACTATTGTCTTGACATTACATCTGCATGCAGATTATGTTAATTATATTCCACATTGCAATGTTGTTTTTCTTCTTGGTTCTTTCGGTAAAGTCACGTAGAAGGGAAGTAATAAAATAATAAAAATAAAACATAATCAAATTATTCTCACGACGTTTCGGCCACAACGCAAGTAGCCGTCCTCAGGTGAAAACCAGGTCTGTCGAGGCGACAGCGTCTGAATGAACGCGCACACGCGCTTGGAGCATGTATATAAGCTGGGTTGGAAGGGGGGAAGAAAGGGGGAGCCTTGAAAAAAGAATATGCATATCAAGAGGAATTTAGCATATTTATGGGAAATGCAGATATGTGATTAGTACTGCATATGCCCGTGCATTATGCAGGATTAGCAGCATCAAAGGGAGGGG